ATGATGATGATGATACATGATGATGATACATGATGATGATGATGCATGGTGATGATGATAGTGATATATATTATTATTGATGTTTTAAATTCTACACTATTCCACTAAAGGGATACTACGACTCTTGTGACGCGGGTATAATAGACGAAGATGGTTTCGTATCCATCATGGCACGTACCGATGACGTAATCAACGTAGCAGGCCACAGGATCTCAACCAAAGCGCTTGAGGAGGTGCGAAAATGTCAGGGCGTGTGGGAGGAAGCAGTCAGCGTTAACTATGCTTTGCTAAGATGAATGTATTGGGGTTTTTTTAGGGTATCATGAAACCGGAGTTTGTAATCGACGCGGCGTGTGTTGGGTACAAGGATCCTATCAAAGGTCACGTGCCGTTGGGGTTCATCGTTGTGGACAAAAGTAATGCGTGACAATACTTCTATTAACAACATTACCGTTACCTTGATATGTTATTGCGTTTTTGAATGTTCTGTCATGACCTTATTTTGTTTGCGCAACTTGCAAGTACAGTTCCCAGGCAATGCTAGCGTCACCTAGGCGTCTTATTCTCTTGTATATTGCAAAACATTACTTTGTTTGGCGTGACTAAAGTGCTAGTCCCCACTGGCCAATGCTAGCGTTACCTACATATCGATCGTAATCACGTGTATTCAGCGTAGAAGCGTTACACTGGCATGACTATTATTATTATCGTTGAATTTGTGTTGCACCAATGTTTAGATGACATTAATTCATTAATTATCGTCTGTAAAGATTACGTGACATAAATTAGTCTTTAAAGATTGCGTGACAACTGTTGTCTGTAAATCAGCTTCAGATATGAAAAAAGACGCGATGGTGGCTGAAGTGATACAAAGTGTACGTCAGTTCGTTGGTCCTGTGGCTGCCTTCAAGACAGCAATCATCGTAGATGCACTTCCTAAGGTACGTAGAATATACACACTTTGGGTAGCCTGTGCTTTTACCGTCCAAGTTCACATAAACTGTGATCTTATGAAGAAAATGCCGACATGAAATAAATACAATTCTATTTCGTTAGACTCGCTCAGGAAAAACAGTCAGAGGAATCTTAACAAAGATCATTCATGGCGAACCTTACAAGGTAAGCAAAGTAACAGTGATTTGAAAGCACGGTAGGTGGTGTGGGGTGCTAATGCGCAGCCTCTTACCACTTGGGTCACGGGTTCAATCCTCGAACTTGTCATCATATCTCATTAGAGCTGCTTGTTGGTTCTCATCAAACGTGCTTCTAGAATGGACGCCTCGTAATAACAGGTGACGTGACCCAAACTCCTGCCAGCCAACGCATTTTCCCATACAAACTCTTTATAATATGTTCAATTTTATATTTAATGTCGTTTCTTCTGTTTCTCGTGTCATAAGCTAAAACTTTGCCTCCTTTTTAACATCGAGGTGTTCTTTTCATTTCTTGTGTTTATTTTGTAATGGCTGCTCGTTTTGTGGGGGGGAAGTCACGTGACCTGTTAGTGCAGGTCATTCAAATTTTTCTCCCGTTTTTCTGCCTGCTCAAATAATGTCTTTATCTGGCGGGAGCTTTTTACTGACAAAAAAGTGTCATTGCCAAGTAAACTATTGACACGCATCCCTCCCCTCCCCCTAGGGGTTAGTAATAAAACCCTTTGATTCACACTCTTATGGTTGTTGTAGATTACTCCAACAATGGAAAACCCGCAAGTCTTGGATACTATCAAAGATAAACTCGTAGAAGTCGGTTTCTTAAAGAAAGAGTAACAAGTGTACGTGACATCAGTAAGAAACCGTCGTGCATCACGGGATATTTTAGGTGCCAATTCTTGAAATTGGGCCAAATATCAAACATTATTGACTTGAGGATATTCAATGAAAATCTACTTCATATTCTTTGTGCTGTGATTTTTGTATGTTACATTTTCTATGGAAATGCACCAGATTCTATATTTTGGATGTTTTTTTTTTTTGCATAAACAAATCGTTTTTAAAGAGAACTCGTTTAGTGCATGATATAATATAACATTCATTAATTTCAGAAATCAAAAATACAATTCAGTCTCAATTCTCAGTTTGATAAGCAGGATTCATTCTGGTCTAGCTTGGGTACCAACAACATCATATAAGGCATGGTGAAGAAAACATGTTTGTACTCAAGCTAGACCACAATGCACCAAGGTAAAAACAACACTTTCTTGTGGCTGACGAAATCTGATCAAAGCAAAGATACTCCTTGGGTGTCTATGCTTATCTATTTATCATTCTATTAGCCTTTCAGAAGTTGAGAAAAAAACTGGGTCGAGTAGGGATTGCAGTGCATTGTGGGACTTTCTGTTTTAGGGGATAGATTTCCAAGATGACGTCTTGTCAGTCCTACAATGCACTGCAATGTCAACTCTTTTTTAACTCAGCCTCGTAATGACTATTAATTATATACGGTGGTTAACAATATGCTCGACCCAACAAGCCTGAAGCGAGATGTCGTTTTACCCCCGTCTCTAGACCATAATCCTTTTCACACTGCTTTTGTTCTTTAATTATGACTATTGTTCCTGTATTCTCTAAGGAATGAAAAATTTTAATATAAAAGAATTTTAAAAACTATTATGGTATAGAGTGGGGGGTAAAACGTCATCTCGCTTCAGGCTTATTGGGACACAAATTCATGACTTCTTTTGTAAGCTTTTTTTAGTATTGAAAACTAAAATATTATTGGACAGAACGGGTACAAGCTAATAATGTATAAATTATGAAGAATGGGCTAGGATGTGTTGGTTTCATTCTCGTACCCAGACCCTTCATCTTTCCAACTGTTTTTCACTGAGAAGGGTTTGGGTACGGAAATGGTGTGACTGTAACAGAAGGAAAACTCATGTTAAAATAAAGGCGTGACGTTATGTATGGTTATCTACATTATGTGTTGCTGTTCCTTAAAAGTATAAAATAGAGGAAGATTTATTATTGCATTGATATATCTTGTTATGTAACTTTTTAAGATTTTGAAAATATCATGAATAGTTTATTCTACAGTTTTGTTTGAGTGAGAAGCGTACGAGCTGCATGTGACGTCACTATTAAACTACTCAATTCCTTCTTAACCAATAAAACAGCAATAATCAGTAGTAATGTGTGTCTAGTCGTCGTGGAGTGGACTGTCTATTACGCTTGCTACGTCTAAGTGGACTTGGTGTGTGAGACTGATCGTTGTTTGATGGTGGTGAAGAACTGACAGTTTTCCTATCATCTTCACTATTATATATTGCTTTGCGTATTTTCTTCTTTGGTGTCTCAGATGTTTCATCGGCGTCTGATTTTGTTTCTTCGGATCTTGTACTGTCATCCTTATTATCGCGCGTACTCTTGTTTGGGGTGTCACGTGGTTTATCTGTGTCACGTGACTCTAGTTCCTCAGAAGCCACCATACTCTTAGTATCACGTGGTTTAACCGTGACACGTGACTCTAGTTTCTCAGAAGCCACCATACTCTTAGTATCACGTGGTTTAACTATGTCACTTGACTCTAGTTCCTCAGAAGCCACCGTACTCTTAGTATCACGTGGTTTGACTGTGTCACGTGACTCTATTTCCTCAGAAGCCACCATACTCTTAGTATCACGTGGTTTGACTGTGTCACTTGACTCTAGTTCCTCAGAAGCCACCGTACTCTTAGTATCACGTGGTTTAACTGTGTCACTTGACTCTAGTTCCTCAGAAGCCACCATACTCTTAGTATCACGTGGTTTAACTGTGTCACTTGACTCTAGTTCCTCAGAAGCCACCATACTCTTAGTATCACGTGGTTTAACNGAAGCCACCATACTCTTAGTATCACGTGGTTTAACTGTGTCACTTGACTCTAGTTCCTCAGAAGCCACCATACTCTTAGTATCACGTGGTTTAACCTTGTCACGTGACTCTATTTCCTCAGAAGCCACCATACTCTTACTATCACGTGGTTTATCTCCATCCTTTGCCTCTGCTTCTTTAGAGGTTACACTTCTGTCATTCTTTTCACGCACTTCCTTATTTAGGATGTCACGTGGTTTGTAGCCATCAGACCTATCTTCACCTTCTGTTTTTGTGAGTATTTCCTTATATGGTATATAACACGAGTCATTTAAGTCACGTGCTTTCATGACACCAGAGTTTGCACCACTTTCAGGTTCTTCCTTATTCAGAGCATCACATGTTTTATCGGCAGCTCTTGAGCTACTGGTTTCAGCTTGGGTTACTTTCTCATTTTGAACTCTGATTTCCTCATTCGGGATGCCTTTCGATTGATCACAGTTTAATTGGACAAAACCGTCACGCTTTTCTTTAGGTTTTGTTGGTGAGTATGTCAAGCAATAAGTATGGTCATGTGACCAGACAGCCGTTTCCAAGGAAACCATACCTAAATCATGTGACTTATTAATAGGCTCGTTTGATTGGATATTTTCCGGGGAGTTCAAATCAGCATTTCTTTGTGTCTCATCTGCTATTTGGTGTATTTCACATGATTCGTTTGTTTTTTCAAGGTCTTCTTCCTTCTGTTTGACCATTTTGACATGGTGTTTTATAAGAACCTGAAGTTCTTCGGTAACGAGTTCTGTTATTTCGTTCCCCTGACGACCTGTCTTGCTGTTTTGCGCATGCGTAGCTCCACCTTTGTCTTCGTTAAATTTTGCGCTGAACGTTAATTCTTTGTTTGACTTTAAGTCGTAAGATCCAGTGCTGTTTGATCGTGCTCGGTACGATCTCGTTTGTGAACATTCTTCTAATAGCGCAAAATATTCTTCCAGTGAAGAGTCTGCTGTTGTCTCTTTCTCTCTTCTCTTTTCTTCTAGTAAAGTTTCATCCAAATTCCATGCAAATAGCGCAAGGTTGTAGAGTTCCTCGACCTAATGTAGTAAAAAATTTTGAAAATAAGTTTTTCTGAAATTATGTTGGGCTGACAATGTACAAAACGCAAGAGCCGCGGAGCGCCCTCAAATGCGAACAGTAGCGCAGATTTGAGAAGTGACAAGACTTGGCATTTTGTGGATGTTAGCACAAATTTTAAAGGCGTACAACACCTTGAGCACCTCCCTCTGAGCGGGTTCCTAATGCTACCTAGCTTACCTCAACATGTTCATCATCTGCCCATCCCATTTCCATCAACGCATCAAAGTCGGACTTGTCCACCTCATATTTCCTCATGATAGACTCCAGTACCATCAACCCAAGTGAGGTGTTTTCCTGAATGTTTACTGCTAAAGATGAGTCCGTTTTTAAGGTATTGACGTCAGACCCATCCAACCAATCACGACTTAGATCGTAAATATTTGTTCCACTATGTTTCAGCGTATGGGCGTCACCGCCGCTGTAAGAACGCCTACGCCTGAAGTTTTTTCCGTCTTGTTTTTCAATCGAGAGCTTGTCTTTTGGCATTGATTGAAAGCCATTTCTAGCTAAACTCTTGGAGTTAGCGAGGGATGCCATCTCAAAATCTAGGCAAATTGACATATTTCATGCTTCAAAATAAAATTCGGCTTATAGAATCTCCCGAGTCTTTTGGAGAAATTAAAAATGTTCTTGTTGTTACTAAGATATGTGGTCTCTTCTGTTAAAAATATTCCAGTGAAATTTATCTGGAGTTAAAAGCGATTTACCTTGATTCTATCCACGCCTTTCAATCAGCTTTTGCTGTTTTTTGTCTTCAGTTTATCTGTTTATTTGTTTACATTGGTATTTTGCGTTACCTTAGTGATGTAGATTCGTCAAATAACGAGTCTTTGAGGTCTAGAGCGCGCTAAAGGTTGCAGGCTTGCAAATATCTTGCGCGCGCGCTGATCTATCCAAAGATCTTTGGAGAACCTGACTTCCTTGTGATATTCTTTATTGAAGCCTCAAAAGACTTTGAAACAATAGTCATAATTTAAACTAGTGAATTCTCACTTTCTTAATATTATTGTCTTATACGCAGTGGAGAACCTGCATTGAGTTTTCATGGTCAGGAGAAACGCAGGATTTGCAAATGATTGACGGTTGGAAGTGCTTTCTGCAGTGCGTTCTCTGCATGCGTTGAAGTAGATTAGCAAGAAATCTAGCTTTTTGTTTCTATTAATTTTTTTAACAAAAACATATTTTTTTAATAAAATGAAACGAAAATTCAACTTTATGATTATAAGCATTTCGAGCAATTCTCTGGTATAAAATAAATTTACATTTTCGAACTTTAGATCATATTGTCTTTAGATACCCCGTTCACACCGGACCCTAACGCGCTTTAAAATTGCTAAGTTTAACTAGTGGCTGTTCACACCGTACGCACGGCTTACTATAAACAAGTTTCAAGGTGTTTCTGAGGTTCGGTTCATTCGTACAGCAGCATAAGTATTAATAGTGATGCTCACAAATCATCCAATGCCGTCCTTTTTTACCGCTCACGAAAGACGAGAACATTAACAAAAACAATTCACGCAGAGATTCGTCATTATTTCAGTCAGCATATATCGTTATGTCTGTATGCATCGCCGTGCTCATTGATCAGAATCGGAGTCCTTTCATCACATTTCTTCGTTCGGTAATACTTCTCTATTCTTTTATGCTCCAAGTAATCGCTTTTTGGGAAGTCTGGGCGTTTTCTTGCCAGGTAAAACTGTACAGAAATTCCAACGACGGATAGGAAAACCCATGTTACTGTCAAAATAATATCTGTAATAGCAAAAATAAGTATTTTCGGTTTAGAAATTAATTCAAATCCGCTATTTAAACCAATTAATGAAGCAAAAAAGCCGGAAAAGAAAATAGTAAAAGAAAAAAATAAAACAAAAACACGAACAAACAAACAAAAAACATAAACATATAACATAAAAAAAATAAAGGACAAGCATAAAAGAACTAAAAACAACCAAAAACAAGCGCATCCCCCTACTCCCCCCNCCCCCCGGTCCATAAAATGAATTTTAATTTTTCGCGCCAATTTTCCTTTCCCAAAAAGTTCAAGTACAAACGCGCCGAACATTTTCCCGCCAAACGGAATAAACCACATGATCATTAAAATAGGGTGGTGATTCTTGATTCTATTAGATAAGCTTATTGGCTAATATATACCTGGGTCGATATAAGCCGTTTTGCTATTGGTGGATATTTACCTTTATATTGGAAGGGTCTTCTAACGATGACTTGGTCGTAGTTTGGTTCAATGGCGCGAATAACGATGTTCAACACGAGGTAAGACATACTTGTATGAATAAAAGTATCAATACCTAGATAAAATAACATAATTAATACACTTAAAGCTATAAAAAAAACTAGAAGTGGTAGAGTAGTAGAGTTGCAAAGGAAAACTTCACAAGACTTGTCTTCGATAAAGAAAATACAGCACTTTTTTTTCCTTAGTTAAAGGAACTAAATTTTCCCACGTGCTTGACTAGTTTTGAAGGTTCTAACTTTCCAATTCATTAAAAAAATCGTTATATCAATTCTTGAATATAGGTATTGCCATTTTTTCTTCAGTTTCTTCAGCTCCAAGAAAGATAAATTATGAATGCGATTGCTTCTTACCAATAATGAATCCATATGCAGAGACCACTGATGTGTATACAATACTCAGCTAAGAATAGTAAGTAATAAATTATTAGGGATTATTATTTTATTAGTGTCTAACATATTTGTTTTTAACAGGATTATGGCTCACAGCTACACAGGACAGTGTATACATTCTATATATGTTGACGTTAACAGGATGTACAGGTATATGTACTTACAACTTTGGGCCAAGGTAACATTATAAATGGAGTCACAATGGTCATTGCAATAACAACCATACCATAGTCAAAATCACTTTGCCAAACTTCTGAATCACCTAAAAAGGGTTTGAATGGGACAAGTATTAGTTTTGTAAAGGCCGGTTTAGACGGTACGATTTTCGCCTACAACTATCGTATATAACATAATCGCGCCATCCTACAACTCGAGTCATAGCGTGTAAATCAAACCTACATCTCGCCTGCGACAGACGCGAGCGTGCTGTATACAATAGTTGGAGGCGAAAATCGTACCGTCTAAACCAGCCTTAAGGGGGGTTGGAATGGTGCCGAAGTATTAGTTTACTAAGGGGGGTGGGGGTGGTGTGCTCTGCGGGTTCTACACTCACACCTGCCCCTAACACCATATGCAAGGAGAGTTACTTGTTGGTTCTCTCCTAAGCATTTGAAAAGGCTGTCTAAATCTCACTGTTCCCCTTATTACATCTAGATCTATTACATCAGTAATACCAAAATTCTAGTGTTGGTCTAATAAACCCCTTTTTACTCTGAAGTAATTAAAACTTTTATTGATTACGAGGTAATGGTGCTATCTTGAAAGATTTAATAAAGGGAATAAAGAATTTTAATTTTTTCTAATGCATATGGCAATGACATTTAAACTTTGTTGTCTCAAGCAGTCCTTAATAGCCCAGTTTCGAATTCCAAATTACCGCATTTGCACAGGGTTAGCCTCACATCAGTGTTTAAATATTCACAAATACCAACAGAAAAGTAAAGAATGCACAACTTCAACAATACAAACACATTGAAACTCGACGGACCTTGACTGGAACACGTGAATATTCTGCACAAACTCGAGGCTAACCCTGTGCAAATGAGTCTGTAATCAAGGAACACAGCAGTAATTTGGAATTCGAAAGGGGTCTATTGTCCTAATATTGTCTACAGTGATCATGATTTTCAATACTGTCTTACTAACTCACCAACAGGAGTGAACAGAAAAGTACCAGCAGCAAGGAATCCCAAGAATAAACCATTAATAAGTAAACAAAGGCGAATATACTCCGTCAAGGACCAGAGTGCATACATCAACAAACCACCGACAATGCCAATAACCAAACTTGTCAACATAAGAGCTGCATGAAAGGTACACAAACAAATTATATTATGATCATGAAAATGAAGTATTATATCGTTACGCTTATCATAAACTATAATCATTTATATGGGCAGCACGGGTGGTGTAGCTGTGTGAGCGCTCGCCTCTCATCAATGTGACCCGAGTTCGAGTCCCACCGGGTTCGGTGTTGTATATGAGTAGAGTTGTTTGTTGGTTCTCTCCTGTGCTTCGAGGGTTTTCCGGGTTCTCCGGTTTTCCTCCCTCCGCAAAAACCAACTCCCAGTAAATTCCAATTTGATCACGAAATGAGGGCCACAGGTTTGTTAGCCACTGGCTATTAATTGCTACCCTCGTAAAAAAAGGACTTTATTTATTTATTTATTTATATACTATCATACTACTATATATTAGTATATCATTTTGGTCAAGTACCTAGAATTATGTTATATATGAGGTGTGTAGCCACAACTACTGAGTTGAACCTGCATATAAATGCTATAAAAACTTGGTGCAAAAATCATAACAGTGAGTTGAATGAGCCAATGTATGAAGGACTGACTTGCTGCATTTATATGTCAAATCATCGGAAAACTGATTCTTCTTTTTCGTTAATTCATTTTTATTTTGAATCTTAGATACCAATTATTCTGTTCTGCAAAGCAATAGTAATGTACAGTATCTGTTAAATTACCTGTGTGGGACAGACTAGTTGATTCTGAGAGAATGATATAAAAAATAAAGCCAAAGTTCATAACTCCGCCTAAAATCAAAGCTGAAAGATACACAAAAAAGTGAAAATGTAAATGTTAAACTACTGTCATATTTTGTTAAAATTAATGGTATATATATATTTAGTAAAAATACACAGGTGATTATAAAAAATCTCGCACTCTGGTTGGTCAAGAAACTCACACTATCATACTATAATCACCTTGAGCGAAAATCCAAAATGTTGGCCAGCCGCTTTGTTGCTGTTACCAGAAAAAAAATGCCTTTTATCTTCTTTTTTTTGAAAGAATCACCTATGTATTTATACTAAAACAATTATTCGCCAAAGGTGAAGTGATTATTGGGGAATATTTACCTCACCGCACGAAGACTCACGTCTCGGTAAATATTCCCCGATAATCACTTCACCTTCGGCAAATAATTGTTAATTAATATTTGTGTAAAATTATTATCCTCAAACATACCTAATTTGAATAATCTATGACCCATAAAACACAATCCAAGAGCAATAACAGCGCCAACCACAGCAAAAACCTTGTTTATCGTAGAAACTGTTTAAAACAAACATAATATTATATCTAGTACCCAATTATATTAACAAATATATATTTAGCTGCTATGGTGATAAACACCTTACCAACATTACTGGTAACCATGGCAACATTATTGTAGGTAATTGAATATATAAGGTGACAGTGGCTGTGGTGATAATTGTCATGGTGATAGTAACCATGAAGATATTCACCAAAGGGGTGTTATTTTGCTGCAATAATCATCAATGTCTGCTGTCATAGTGAAGGTTACCATGGTGATGTTATTGTGTTTAGTAACCTTACCTATTGAATAGCAGTTTCCAATAGTTGATGTAAAGCTGCAACCATAGGTGTGGACAGGGGAGTATGCAGCCTCTTTCTTGGTTACTGGGTCGTAGACTATAATATTATAAATGATCCCTTGTCCAGGTAATGTATCAAATAACGCTTTAGGGATTGTAGGAGCTTGAACAGTCAAAACCTACAAATATCAAATATTTCTCTAATAAATAATCTCAAATAATCTCAAGCACTTAATCACTAACTAGGGACAGCAAATGAATATAAGAAGCACATAAAAAAATACATGCCTTCCCAAAATGTCCTCAGTAGTTTTCAGTTCACCCTTTTGTGAATGAATGTCATACAATAAATCTGTGCTCTCACTTTTATCATCTTATTATTTCAAATCTGTGAGTTAGCCATGCCCTGACTTAGATCAGCCCAGAGGTTGTTTGGGTTTGATTTGTGAGTTAGCTATTTCCAGACTTAGATCAGCCCAGAGGTTGTTTCAGGGTTTGATTTGTGAGTATTAGCCGTGCCCTGACTTAGATCAGCCCAGAGGTTGTTTCAGGGTTTGATTTGTGAGTTAGCCATGCACTGATTTAGATCAGCCCAGAGGTTGTTTCAGGGTTTGATTTGTGAGTTAGCCATACCCTGACTTAGATCAGCCCAGAGGTTGTTTCAGGGTTCAATTTGTGAGTTAGCCATGCCCAGACTAAGATCAGCATATAGGCAATTTCAGAGTTTGATTTGTGATTTAGCTGTGCCCTGACATAGATTTCCCAGAGGTTGTTTCAGGGTAAGATCGGTGCTATGACAAGTCATCACCTTGTTTCCGCTTGTCTTGATAATATCAGGATATGCCATCATCTGCAGACCTTTAAAGAGCTCCCCCTCTTCTAAGTTGCCTTCATCTAGAAACATCTGGTAAAGATTGTACTCTAATCTATAATGCTCTGGGTTTTTACCAGGATGATGAGGATACCCATCACATGCGATTTCTTTTTGGTTTCTAGAAACAGAAATAATATTCCTTCATTGACATAATTTCATAAGCTTTGTATGTGTTTCATAGCTTACAGTACTTTAAAAACTGCCCAAAAATGCCTTGTTTTTAAACTTGAACATGCAATACTTTTGGCAGAATTCAAACATCTTGGAAAAGATTTATTATTGCTTACCTGCCAAAAAACACATTAGCAAAATAAAAAGCGATAGTTGTTTTAACTGGGTCATAGGTGACCTTGAGATTTGGATCCAGCTCCATATTGCAGGTCTGGCAACATCCTCCAGGAAAGGGCGCTGGAAATAGATTTATACTTCCATAAATGAAATTTGTTTTTGATATGGGCATTATGAACCTGGGAGATCAATGGTGGCATACCATTAGTGTACTTGTCTGAGTTTGTTTCAGGGTTTGATCTGTGAAATAGCCCTGCCCTGACTTAGATTAGCCCAGAGGTTGTTTCAGGGATCAATCTGTGAAATAGCCATGCCTGACTTAGATCAGCCCAGAGGTTGTTTCAGGGTTCAATCTGTGAAATAACCATGCCTGACTTAGATTAGCCCAGAGGTTGTTTCAGGGATCAATCTGTGAAATAGCCATGCCTGACTTAGATCAGCCCAGAGGTTGTTTCAGGGTTTGATCTGTGAGATAGCCCTGCCCTGACTTAGATTAGCCCAGAGGTTGTTTCAGGGTTTGATCTGTGAGTTAGCCCATCCCTGACTTAGATCAGATCATGTCATTACCCATGATTAACACATCAATAAAGAAAATTACATTGATAAATTTTTCAATGGTAATAGAATTATACTGTCCCTTGGACCTGTATAATACTAACCTCCATTGCTGTAAGGAATAGAAATAACATCAATCTGATAATCCTCTGATGAATTTGACTTAACGTAAAGAGGTATAGGCTTTTCTCCATGCATGTAAGGTAGCTTATACAGCACCGATGGATCAGACCCAGTATCTGTTGTATCATGTGTAAACAGAGCATCTGTAGATGCCAACGTTCTTCTGTACTGAGAATGGACTTGAAAGATCACAAAGAACCAGTTACGTTCTGTTCTTAGGAACTGTAGGTTTAACTGCTCATTAGGCTGTAGGGTGAACGTCTTTCCACCATTAGCAGGAATTTCTAGCTTTCCATTTCCAGGAATTAAGACTAAAATATAAACATTAGATAAACACAAAAGATAAATAATAATGGTAAATCCTTGATGTAGATCATTTTTAATAAGGAAACATAATATATTCCTCGCTTTGCGTCTGAATTAAGCTAAATCAGAAGATAAAGCATCGTAATCTTTGAAGAAATGGTAAATCTGCTACAGCGAGACCTGGGCACCAGTGTCTGTGACGACAACGACATCTTTTCACAATAATTATCTAAGGTTTCAGCGAAAGTTTCAGCGTTTGAAAAACATTTGATCCCTTGAGGAAATGCTTCTCTCCATCAAATATAAAAGTCTATACTTATTCTCATTATAAGAAATGTAAGTACGTAGCTAAAACGTAGTTAATTTCAAATGCTGGCTAACCAAATCCTCATGACATAATTAACACTGTATTTATGGCTTCAAATGGTAAAATAAATACTACCTCTTGATTTGTCCACAAATGCTTGTTCAGCGATCACAATTTCGAGGAAAACAATAACAATGATTCCTATACTACGACTACGCATCTTTGTTTCGACTTAAAAGGCTTTAGATCATTACGAATTGTCATAAAGATCAATAGAATATGTCTTCCAATATTTAGCCATGTTTATTTCGTCTGGTAAATTCCACTTCCGGTGAGGGATTATGGGATATTGCGGCACCAAGTCGAGGCTGAAGCTTCCTGTGCTCTGATTGGTCGATTTGAAAAGGAAAGGAATTTTAAAATGTTACCAGACAGTTTGATCACTCGTTCCACGCGTCACGGTAAACAGTTTTGAATATTTTCGTTTATAAAATCCTTAATTTGAGGCGATTTCTACCCAAATAATCGCAACTTATCCAACCCATGTCGTCGTCGCAAGGTAAGAATGAAATTTGATATTGTTTAGACTTGAAAAATTTTGAATTTAGATACCAGTAGATGGTTGGCAAATGTTGAATTTTCTTTGCTCGACTTTGTCTCGTTTCACAAGAAATTTCTAACGATTTTGTTGTGATTTGTCAAAATATCTTTTATTAACTTGACAATTAGGTTTGAATCTATTGACATTGAAAACCTGTAAAATTATGCCGCTAAACTGGTGCAAAACATCATTAAGCTTCATCAGCATCAAGCTTGTTTATTAACCCACAATCGTTTTGCATAAATTTCTTAATTTCCAGCAAGAGGCGATAAGTCTCTGGATGATAGCCTTACAAATATCCAGTGGCTATGTGAGTTAGAATCATCTGAGCTACTGCAGTCACAAAGAGCTTCGAAGTTGAAGGAAACAGCTGATGAGGCACATAATCGTGTTACTCCCAGCTCACCAAATCCACATCCTAAACCACCATACTCCTATGCAACAATGATCCTTCTAGCGATCAATAGCACTGAAGATAAGAGGATGACGCTACAGGATATTTATAAATGGATTGAGAACAATTACCCTTACTACAAGAAGTGTAAAAAAGCTTGGAAAGTAAGTGATTCATTGTGATTGTTTTTAGAAATACAGTAATCTGCTTCACTTGTCTGGTCAGGGGTAGATCAAGGGGAGGCAAAAGGGGTGGCTAGTTACCCCCCTTCTGCTCAAATTTCTCAGTATATTGTTAGTAACAGTCACCCTCTTTTCCTCCAATTCCTGGTAAAGCCTTTTTAATAGTCACCCCCTTCTATAATTTCTGGATCCGCCCCTGCTGGTGTCTTCACTTGTCTGATGTATGTCAGCCATTTTATGGTAGCTGGAATAGTCCCCTTCACAGTTCCCTGTCCCATCTTGAAAGGTAGCCGTGTCTTTGCATCAAAGCAGACGAACGGTGAGCTTGCAATGATAGAGACATGTGAATGATTGTCCAAGGTGTTAAAAAAAGGTCTCTATCATTGCAAGCTCACCGTTCGTCTGCTTCAATGCAAAGGCACAGCTACCTTTCAAGATGGAGCAGGGAACTGTGAAGGGGACTATCACTACTAAAGTTTTTACCAGAATCATGTTTTCATAAATGTAAGCTGTAATATATATACTAATTTAATATTCTCAACAACAACAAAAAGATCATCTAAATTAACTGTCTTTTTCTTTCCTTTTTTTTCCAGAATTCAATTCGCCACAATCTCTCCTTGCACAGTTTTTTCCTCAAAGAAAAAAGACCTGTTGATCTTCCTGGAAAAGGAAGCTACTGGTCGATATCACCCGAAGGCAAGAAGAATATCATGAGGGAGGTAATGAAACATGCACAGCCAGTTATACAAAACCCTTTGGTTAACCCTGGATTGAACGGCAGAAATTTAAGACCTATTCTACCCAAACCAATGGACAATACTCCCCAAACTTATAATGAAGGTGTTGCTCAAAAGATGCCAGGCGTGTGTTCAATCGTTAATGGGAATACGGTTATGCCAGTTGTGATTTTACCAACCAATGTCTACATGGACTTGGCAGCAAAGATAGCTAACAGTAAGAAGGCATCCTCTGGGTTTGCCATCACACAGGATTCTGATTCAACTATTAGAGTATTGAGTGATGAGTATTTTCCAACAAAACAACTTGAGAGAAGAACCAATGCCTGTGACCAAGAGAGCGGAAATGACACTGTGACATCTTTAATGGATGAAATTCTGAAAAACGAGAATTTTTCTGAGGTTTTGGATACCATCAAAACAGAAAATGAAAGCAGTTCATCGCAGATTAATGATTCATTGAAGATCAATGACAGTGAATTACATTTATTTAATCAACAACAACAATATTCTGAGGTTCAGACTGTTGTAAAGGAACATAATGATGAGGATTCTAAATTAGAGCCAGTAAGAGCAAAAAGAATAAAAGTTGAGCCAGTAAGTCAAGAAAATGTCTACAAGAAACCAAGTCTGCCATGCCCAGTTCTCCAAGGTGCATCACACCAGGCTCACAGATCACCTTTAAAGGACAGAACAATGCCTACGTTAGCTGCAATGAACTCTCAGAACAATGATTCATTCATGTTTTACGACAAGGACTATAAACATCAAGATGTAGGATTTTCATTACTGTCACCTGTACTGCTCAACACCCCAAGATCAAACAACAACACTTCAAAGGAAACCTCAACTCCTGCTCAAACTTCACCTCTAAGCAGCGCGTTTCGTTCAGGGCTGACTCCTCTAAAGTACGACTCTGACAGTGGATTCTTTACACCATTAAAAGACTCTGACTTTGACTTCTTGTTGTCTCCAAGTCAACTACAGGTACCCCTTCAGATCACCCCAGCAAGAATGGTGGGAAGTACTCCACAGGGCTGTAGGAAGTCACTGCGTCTTGGCACAGTTCCTGAGGATGTTGAGGGCAATGATGTCTTACCATGGATGTAATGATGCTAAGTCATCTTGTTTTACTTTGATAATGATGACAAAAGACCAGGTTTTTACATGTGAAAAATCTTGGCAAACTGACAATTTTATACAACTATAACAAACACCAGGAAAAAATGTCTCGATATTGCTTTCGAAATCAGCATACTGGTATAAACAAGTGGTCATATTTTGCATCGGAAAATTTATGCCATATGTTTTTCACACTAACAAATCTGGTCGATATAGCTAGTCAGAATAAATTTTAGCTGACCATTTTTAATTGAATATTTTTGATGTCCTTATTCACAACATTATTGAAATCAAAATTTGGTCTTAAAAAAATTTGATAATTTGCATTTGAAAAATTTAAATTTTTAAAAGCTTTGAAAGTGAATTTTTGGGAAAGGAAAATAGACATCCTATTTCCTTGTGATATCATCTACATAAATGATGGTCGTAGGTTATAGCTTCTGATTCTAGTGTTTATTACTGGTATGTGAACGATAATATACTGTGTGCAAAGAGTTTGAAGCTAGAATATTATGTACTAGGAGTAAGGTAAAGTTTGTAGTATAAGCTATGAAATTTTTGAAAGCTTTGTCATCATTACCTCATTACTAGTCTTGTATGCATTCGTTGTTAGTTTCGTCATGCAAAGCTTGTTCAGAGAAAGCCTTGTACAATGACACTAACTGAGGTTGCATATGATAGAAGACCACATTTAACTTAGGCTGCATTCATAAAGTATGGCAAGGGGGGGGGGGG